AAGTCAGGGTAAGTTTTTCTGATATCTGTTACTAACAGTAGTAAACTTCTTTAGTAACAGTAGTGTAATAACTGTTAGCTGTTTTCCCTCTTGTCTCTGTACATTGCACTTTATATTCTTAGTCCTTAACTGGTCGTCAGATTGGTGATGAGTAATGCTTGGATTTGTCCACAGGTCCTCACCATTCCCGATTTTCTACAGCTGTTTTGTTCCTTAGCAGCAGTAAGTGTTCCAAAGTGTTATTATTTAACTTTTGCTAGGAAGAAACATGCATAGAACAACAGCAATCAGAGTGAATTAATGTGAAAACAATTCAACACATACAAACATGGAATATCTTCAAGTTTCATATGAAAGATAAACTTTATATTTCTGATTGGTATGTTTTATTTCAGGTTAGTCAAAAGACTGAATGTATTGCAGGGTATGTGGCAGATTTGTCCATTCTTCATACAGAATGTGGAAGGTAAGTTTTCCCTGTTAAGTACTTATCAAGTCAGTTAATAATTCCTTCTTTTGTTCCAAACATTTACTCTAATTTGTTTTGTATTTCATTCATTTTAGGTTCTCACCAGCTGTGACAGCTGCGTCATCAGTTTTGTTGGCAAATGCAATTCAACAAATTGGTAAGTGTATATAACAACTTTTTACAGAAACAATTCTCATATTCATGGTGGACAACTCTTCTTGATTAATCAAGGTGTTCCAAATTTTCTCAACCAACTGAATACCGCTACTTTTCCCTTTGAATTTTACCCTAAAACTTAACCTTCTCCAAGTACATTCTTCCAAAACAATGTTTAAAGTGGATAGTATTAGGATATCTCTAAGTTTTCAAGCCACTTCCAAGGAGAATGTAAGTCATCGTGTATCACCGAATCCTTTCACTATTAAGGAGAGTTCTCAAGGTAAATGGCTTGAATTAGTTTTATTCAGGTGTGTAGAAAGTTCTGTGTCACTTCTCACTGATCTCCAGCTACAACATTTTTTTAATTCTGCCTTGTTATTTGAGTATCACTTTGCTTCTTAAAAAAACTACAACAACAACTTTAATTTTACGTTGGACATTATCCCTCAGACTTGTAGCATTAATTCTTATAGAAGCAGTTCAATACCAGATAACTGATTTTGAAAAATATTGCTAATTAAAGGATTATATTTTTTCATGGCCTTTTCACAACAGCAACACCATGGCCACTACACATGCATGAAATGACTGGCCTCAGTCTTGTGGATCTTCTGGATTGTACTCTTCATTTACATCAACAATGGTAACAACTTTTTTCGGTCCGTTATGAAGACTGCTTACGTTTATTGTTGATTGGGTAGAGCTAGAGCGAATTTTGATCGAGCGTCGCAAAACCAAAATCACTGTAATCACAACAGAATTTCAGAAAAAAGGAAAATACCTTTGTGAGCCAATGAGAACTCAAAGTGAAACAAAGCAAACCGCGGGAAAATGCGGGCGACCAAATCGTGACTGGATTAAGGTATCTGATTGGTTAAGGCTGGCCAATCACAGAGCGATGTATAGAGAAACCAATGCAAACTCGGATAGCTCGTCAACAACTCGTTAGTACAGTATAAAGTATTTCTTTCTTACATATTGTTCAGTTGATGAAAGGTGTTGTTTCTGATTGATTTTAGCCTAGTTGATGATTGCCCTACAGATCATAGAAATGTAAAGCTGAAAGCTATTAAACAAAGGTTTGTTTTATGCTCTTCTTTCTTGTGAGACTATGAGCCGTCCTTACTTTACGGCGAGGTCAGCTACGCTAGTGAAAGAAAAAATTGAAGTTATGACGGCGTGCCAACATCAATTTTTCTCTTGCCGATTTTAATTTTTTTTTTTTTTTTACTCGCGCGAAGGACTCCGAAAAGGAGGGGCTGTTCGTTGTCTTAGTTTTTGTGTTGTTATCTTTTTTCTGTGATTAAGTATTACCTTTACATATGTTGAAAGCCATCTTGGTTTTTTGGCTGATTTATTTGCTGTTTTTTAGTATAGTTAAGTTTAGTTTTTTTGTTTGTTTTGGTTTTGTATTTTCGGTTTTAAAACATTTAGTGCTTCTTTTACCTTGTAGATATTCAGATGAAAGGTTCTTGAAAGTTAGCGAAATAAAGGTATGTTTTCAACTTCGTACATTCACGAATATTAATGCCGCCTCAGATGTGTATTGTGTCATTTGCTAAATTATTGTTTCTTATCCATGCGAAGATTTTTGGCGACAGTTTTGACCGCCTTTACATCACTTCCGAGAAAATCCCTAATTTTATTTCAGCATAGCTACAAGAAAAAATTATTTACCCACTGGAAAGACGGATGACGTTTTTAAAATTAGGTGATCTTAAATTTTTGTTTTAAACATTGTACCCAGGTTCCCAACCGAGAAGAGTTACGTCGTTTTCTCCCTTCTGAAGCGCTCTGTGGAAAACGCTCTGTTCGCGGTCAAGCAGTGGCGAAGCATGTTGGGCTTGCGCAGCACATCAATGCTGACGACAGTATTTTGAATACGAGTATCAGCAGTTTGTCTGAGAGTGGTTACGAGGGAGATATGGAAGATGAAGGTGAACATAACATTGATGATCCTCTTCTTGACGAGGAATTGTTTAGCGAGCTAGCTGATGGTGAACACGCCATGTTAAACAAGCAATCAAGGGACTCTTCCTTCCTTAACTGGGAGGATTTTCCTAGAACAAGCTCAACGCCGAGTATTCTTCATCCAGCTGGATTTCAAAATGGGTTTGATTTTGAAGTGCAGGACATGGAGACAGACTCAGAACCCGTGCATATAGACAATGGTATTCACAGCGCGCGCGAAGTGTGCGTGCCAGTAGTTCTAGAGCCAGATGAAAATATGGAGGTAGTGGAAAATTGTGCGAAACCATCGGCTTCAAGTCTGGGACGCAGGCCCTTAAGATGTATCGAGAACAACAATGTCCCTTCTGGGGTTCCTATTTCTTTGAAATCCGAGCGAAGAACTTCTGCTTGGAGTCAATCAGTCGCTCAATGAACTTGCCTTTGTGGCTGGTATTTTGCGCCCGTTTCTTTATCTCTGCTCTTTACTATGGCTTGAATCTTTTGTTTACGAGTCTCGCATTTTTAAATTGTGCGATCACATTGACGAATCCAAGCAAAATTATATTTTAGTGCATGTGTGTCGAAAATACCTATCTATCGGTTCAATAGTTTTATCCCCACATCAATTTTAACCTCAATATCTTTCTAGTGCAAATTGTATAATTGTATATATTCATTAAGGAATCATAACCTACATTTTGGCATACTCAACATTCTACAGTCCTCGACGTTTCTTTGTTTCTCTTTCGTTTTTCCTCTCTTGCACTCCGGCCAAGTCTCCAAGTTTGATCATGAAACTGAGAGGACCGATAACGAGGTTGAAAATGCCGTTATTTATCTTGTACAGAACCAAAAAATAGTCTCCAATTGATATTTTTAAGAGTATGTGTTGCTGTTTTTGGGTAAAGGCCTGCTAGAAAATTAACGGGAGAATTTATTGTGCTAATGCTTACAATGTGGCACTTCGATAGTGTCCAAAAATAAATATATATATATTTCTTAGACTTACTGTGGGATTCTTGTCTTCATTGTAAACTTTTTTCTTTAACCCCGCTATTGATGTTCCTATAGGTTATTAATCAGTCACTTTCCCTACTGGAATACGTAGTCACAGGAGAAAATAAGGGGACAGAGAGAGAAAATCATTGCGTCGGCCGCGAAATGTCGATTCCACTGAAGTTGTTTTTAGTTGCGAGCAGGAAGGGAATTCTGTTTCCTCAGACGTCCACATCGTGGTTTTCTGATATTTCTTAGAAAGCCAGAGTTGTGTTTCGCTTATTCAAAAGTTTGTTAGAGAGTGGCTTCACGAGCTACGTTTCGTTTCAAGTTTCGTGTTCCTTATAGCCCTGAGAAAAAGCCTCCGCCTGATTGAAATTAACTTTGAATCATGCAAAGAAATTTCAGCAGATAGATGTTCACTATTATGCGGACGTCTCGAAAAAAACCACTTCCCATCGAGAGACTGGCAAGCGCCTCCTCTGTCCCACTGTTTTCTCTTGTTACCTGTCAATCGAAGTACAAGTGCAAGTACGGAGCCCAGTTAGTGCCATCTCGTATTTCTCATCGACTTTTTTTTTCACGACTTCAACTTTTTTTCCCGACTTCAACTTTTTTTCATGACTTCAACATTCCGGCACGACTTTAATTTTCCGCCGCGCCATTTTTCTTGGCACGACTTTCTCTTGGCCTTACCTTCAATAGAATAACTATAATACTAGAATAATCCCTTTGGCTTTGATTCTTTCTTAACCGTCACAAAACTTAAAAAAATTATACTAAAGCTTATTGCCCATAAAATTTGGACAAGGTGACCTTCAATCCTAAGGTAAACATTTGTAGGTACTGTTGAATAACAGACCAGAGAAAGTAGTTCCGGGAAATTAAAGTCGTGGCGGAATGTTTATGTCGTACCGCAAAGTTAAAGTCGTGCCGGGATGTTGAAGTCATGGAAAAAAGTTGAAGTCGTGAAAAAAAGCCAAAGTCGCGAAAAAAAGGTTGAAGTCGTGAATAAAAGTTATAGGCGCGTAAAAAAGTTGACGTCGTGAAAAAAAAAAGTTGATAAGAAATACGAGATGGCATTTATTGGGCTCCGTAACAATCACTGGCGCATGGATCTCCTGTTTCGACAGTCATGTGACTCAAGGTTAGATAGAAGGTAAGACATCGGAATGTCATCACTTTCCAACTGGACGGAATATTTCTTTCGTCAATTGCTAGTAGAACTGTGTAAGAGAATTGATTTTCCATTTGTCTTAGGTGCCGAGATTTACATTGAAATGGTAATTTCTGCAATATCAACCAGTTATTGCTTGTAATAACTTTCACAAAAATGCCTGTGTTGCAATACTCTTATGATCCTCGCTGCTTATAAATAAAAATGCGCATAACATACTTAATTTAAACTCAAGAGGAAAATCGCAGAATGAATGTCAAAGAAAGGGCATCAGAGAAATGTCGATGGTTTCGTTTCAAGATTCCTTGTTGCCAACTCGGCCGACTGAGCTGTTCATTCAGTGTTCGTCTCAACCCAGTTGTTTCTCTATTTTCCGCCCTCATTATTTGGGCTTTTGTGGTATGGTGCGTATTGGAGGCGAAAGCGGCCAACGAAGACATGACCGAATGGCGAAGATGGATAACTTTGAAATGCACCTGGCTTTACATCGGAACTCAAGACGCGTGGGCTTTGTTCATAGTTGTGCTCTATTTCTCTAAGTATTCCAAAATGAAGCTAGGAAAATCGCACGAGAAACCGGAATTCAACGATGCTACGTACTTCACGATGTTATTTGCTGCTGGTATCGGAATTGGTCTCTTTTACTTTGGAGTAGGTAAATAATAGACAAATTAACTGCAGAAACATGCATTGTACGATGATCGTTTCAATATGACCCATGCTTTACGAAAGAGCATTAGGTAGAGAAGTTGACCGAGTTATGTTATTCTATTGTTTTATCTCTGTCAAAAGCGGAGCCCATTTGGCATTATGCACCTGGACATTATGGAAATCGATATTATGCAAGGTAAGTCCTCTCTTAACTATAACAATACTTTAAGACGATGGTTGTGGTAACCTAGAATAGGTCAGTTTACGTCTGCTCGGACAAAAGTAATTCTATTAATGATCCTCGCTTTTTGCTGTGTTCAATCCAAATTACATTTCATTTGCACCGTAATCACTTTTACCAACGACTAAAGATAAAACTTACCTGAATTCTGACCCCTCCTGCACATGGCTCTGTGATATCCCTATAATTCCTCCCCCCTCCTGGCAGTTAATTGGCATTCATTTTTCTACAGTCCACCCCCCCATCCCTTTCCTCTGAAAACCTTGTGATCCCCTCCCCCAAAAGAGACCTCCAACCTCCCCCCACCCCCCTTGCTCGGTCCCTGAGGTCATAAGTAAACAAAAATACGAACCACTGATATTCAAACATTGATCTTTCCGTTAGGTATTCCGACAACCAACAGGCCCAGGATGCCATGAACCTCACTTTCTTTCACTGGGGAATTCACGGATGGATTGTCTACGTAGTGGTTGGACTTCTCCTAGCCTTCCTCAGCTACCGAAAGGGTCTTCCGATGACAATGCGATCCTGTTTCTATCCTCTACTTGGAAACGGAATATTCGGATGGGTTGGCGACTTCATCGACATCCTATCAGTGGTGTGCACCATGTTTGGGGTCTGCACCAGTCTTGGTCTTGGTGCCATACAGCTCAACGCTGGTTTCAGACGACTCAACAAGAACATCACCTTCAGTACTACTAATCAAATCATCACCATCTGGGGAGTAACGGCCTGTGCAACTTTATCTGTCATCAGTGGTTTGAAACTTGGCATCAGGCGGCTAAGCGAACTATGTTTTGTAATCGGTATGATGCTGATGTTGATTATTTTGTTCTACGATGATACATGGTATCTACTCAACCTCTATGTTCAGAGCATTGGATATTATCTCCAGTATGTTGTACAGGTTGGATTCCACACAGATGCTTTTGCACAACTCGGTAATGCCCCAGATAAACTCGAAGCCGCTGAGTGGATGAATGACTGGACCATCTTCTACTGGGGTTGGTGGATTGCTTGGTCCCCTTTCGTTGGAATGTTCATCGCGAAGATTTCACGAGGCCGAACGATCAGAGAATTTATCAATGCTACCCTCACTGCACCTATCTTCTACACCTTTCTGTGGCTCACCATTTTCGGTGGAGCAGGGATAAGAATGGAACGAAACGCAGCCTTGGCGAACGTCACCTGCTCGTCGCCATTCGGAGGGAAAACTGCCACAAAGTCATTTCAAGGCTTTTACCGACTCTCCTGTCGCCCAAAGAATGACATGTGGTTCGACCTGATGGACCAGTATGGTGACCTTGGAGACTTCTTGTCCATCGTGTCCTTAATTGGTATAATTCTTTACTTTGTCACCAGCTCGGACAGTGGTTCACTGGTCATAGATTGCCTCTCTGCCAACGGTGATCCCGACCCCCCCATACCCCAACGTATCTTTTGGGCCCTGACGGAGGGTGCTACCGCAACTGCTCTGCTGTATGCTGGAGGGACAGATGCTCTGAACGCCTTACAAGCAGTGTCCATTGTAGTTGGCCTTCCTTACACCATCCTATTGTGTTTCATGTGTGTGGCATTGTGGCGAGCTGTTCAAATGGAAGATGGCGACTTGGATGCAAACGGTCCACAGTTCAACGTGACTTTGTTCCATCCGATCTCTCGACCTTCCAGTAGAGGTTTCTTCAAACTTTTTCTCGCCATTGTTGCTCCCTGGTACGTGATAGCCATTGCAGAAGACAGGAAGAAAGGCATTAGCCCCTTAGCCTTGGCCTGTCGCATGGTCCTCATGGGTGTGCCATTTTATTCCTGGATTGCCATGATGGTAGCAGAGTTGATTCCAGTAGAAGGAATCTCTTATGTCGGATGGGCAGTTCTCTTTTTGTTCTTTGGTGTAGCAACAGCCATCAGAACGGGAATGAGATTAGAGGATGGAATACATGGCAGCATGGCAGAGGATTTCTTCGTCGTGATGTTTCTGTACCCGTTTGCAGCTTTTCAAATGGATCGACACACATCGCATCATCAAATGAAAAAGAATGCAGAAGACGTAGAACAGGGAAAGGCCAGCGACAATCCCTGTTATGAAGGCGGCTTAGATGATAAATCAGTAACAACTGCGTTGTAAAAGCCACGAAATTTGTAAACAGTTTTGGAGACAGATGAAAGAACTAAAGCACATGGACTGAAATTTTTTGATCGTTGTTGACATGTGCAAAGTAGTGTGAAAAAGTGTATAATCTGTATAATGAACACCGGAAGGCGAATTTCTTTTATACAGAAGATCAGAAATGAACGAAAACACTTTCTTTCTATATTTACTTCGTCGAAATTTTTCCTCGCAGTATTGTGAGGTCGGCGCTTATGACGACCTCTGAAAGCGGATGGTCAGTGTGAAAGTGTGAAAACATCGCAGATAGTAATATTCTAGACTAATGCAATGGTGTGGCGATGGATTTGATTCTAAAGTTTGATAACCCTTCGAGTTCTTTGAACAATTGTGATACATACGATGATGAATAATCTAGTAGAAAATAAAGTCTGTGACGAAAGCTTTTCCTCACCTTTATATTTTGAACAAAGGCAGTACTTAATGAAAAATAGTGATAAAGTTTACAATAGCTATGCGAGAGCACTTTGTAGACTTTGTAATTGTGTATCGGAAACGAATTAACACTAACCACGAAACAGCCAAGCGGAGAGGAGGAATTTCGAACATTTGATAAGGAATAAGGCAGAAGTCAAAGTTACCGCGGGCGTGGGAAACGCGAGTTAAGGTCCCCATGCGTATTTGTTGTCCATCTGATTGGATAAGAAATATGGCGCGAATTTTCAAGGCCGACCAACTGCTTTTATCCCGGAGCTTGGCGTTTGATTTTTACTAAGTTCTCGATGGAAAACATTTTAACTTTGCGCATGTTTAATCGTTCATTTTAATCTGGGTTAAGCCGGCAGTTTCAATCTCGTGGCTAGATAAAACAACCTTTTCCCTTCAATATGTCTTGAGCATGTCCGATTTTGGGCGTGGCTATTGCTGTATACTATTTAATTAAGTTAGGCGCTGCCGAAGTTTACCTCTCTTAATATAACTCACTTTTGGCTTTTCTCTCAAGATGAATTCATGCGCCTTTCCATTGTCAGATAAATGCATCTAATCAGAACACAAATGTATATCAAATAATTTCATTCTCCAGTTGTACGCTGTACATTTCCGGGTTTCGAACTGTGCCTGATGATTGGAAGAAATTCCCTGCTCCTCCAAAGTTACCATCACCCCGAACCTTTTAGAATTTTCTGAAAATAAAGGAGCTCTGATATTTACAATGGCGCTCACCACCATAAGCGCAAATTACTTTAGGTATGAACGTTTGCAAACTCGATGCTTCCGGTTTGAAATACAGAGGAGATGAACAGTTTTCAAAGGAAGGAGTTTTGCATTAACAACTTGGAATAAGGGAGAGAGCTGTTGGTCTAAAAATAAGTAGGTGGCATATTTAAATATGGGAGTTTGGATGACCTGTTTCTCTACCTTGCAAATGAGGTGTTGGGAAATACTGAACAAAATGAAATGAGATGTCCTTGTTGGGTTGCCTGTTGACTTCAAAATTCAGTATAAATGTCATTTTCACCCCTTAACCTTTAAAACCCTAGGAGTGATTAGCATCTTATTTCTCCCTACAACATTACCTCTGAATCACACATCAAGGTCATGAGAATAAAGAAATTGGTCACCAGGGAAGGAATCTTTTGATTGGTAAACAAATTCTCCTTGTCAGCACCTTAGGAAATGTATAAAGAATAGTGTGGAGAATTTGCATACTGACATTAGGGTGTGAAGAGGTAACCTGTAGGAGTGACCAGCATCTACTTTCTCCTTATGGTAACACTGCAGACTCATTCATTGAGATTACAAGGATTAAGGAAATGATTGTCAACCTAAGAGGCTTTGATTATTAAACAAATTCTCCTTGCTAGTACCAAAAGGAACTGTATAGAGAGGAGTATGGAGAATATGGAAACTAATCTTAGGGTGTAAGGGCTTCATTAATAGCCCAGTTTCAGTAACAGCCTGAAACAAAAACATCCCTGAGCATTGGTGATAAACTCCTCACCTGGAATTTTGGTTGTTATTTTCTCCTCAGAAAAAAATTTCCTCTGGCTGGCAAATAGCTCAAGTGATAAATTGAAGTTTTTCATGTTCAAATCAGATTGACTTTATGAAAGCTTGTGCTGGAAAAAATTTTTAATAATGAGCTTTGTTTGTTGTTCATAATTAGGGGCTGTTGGTAAAATTTGGTTTAACTCTTTCCCATACCTAATTCACAACTTTTTATTACTGACAATATACTGTTTATCAAATATTGTTGGTAAATACAGCATGAACAAGTATGAGTTTTAATAAAAACTAGTACAAAATTGAAAAGAGAAAAAAAATGATTCCTAAAACATTTAGGGTTGTGGGTGGAATAAAGTAATTTTTAGTTAAGAATTAGAGTTTCACTAGGTTTTATACTTTACAGGCACCACAACCATACCATTTTAATGTAGTCAGATATTTGCTTCTAATTTCAGTCACTTCACACAACTTAAAGTTTGTAATTTTGAGCCAAGACTCAATTTTCATCAGATGAAGGAAGGGTCCCTTCTGGATCATTAACCTCTACAGTTTTCTCCCCATTCTCAGCATTTCCTGTGGCAGGTTGAGCAGTCTCTGTATCTGCCGATTCATCTTTCATGTATGCATACTCCACAGGCTTGCTACCTTTCCTATTTTTTCTGCCAAAATCAGACACAACCTTCCATATAAAGCTACCATGTCGACGCCCTCTTATTGGGTGACTGGGATCCAATCTTGAGTTAAACTGATGTTCATAAGAGATTTTCTCTACAACCTTTGGTGTTGTATGTCCTGTTTTATATGCAGCTTGAGGTAGGATCCCAGAGGCCCCTGCAGGTACCACTTGCAGGGCAAGGTTACTGCTGTACCTTGTTATCTTTCCAGGGGAGAATGGTGGAGGACGATAATCTGAGCGTGCAGTTGAATCAAAGCTTTTTTGAGGGATCCTGGTGGATTTTTCTGGCAATTCTTCTGGCCACCATGATGGGTATTTCACAGGGGAATCTACACTGGTCTTCACATAACAGATTGGCTCACAAATAAATCGTGGATTTTGGCGCAAAAAAGTCACATTAGTGGGGTGAGGTTTATTGTTTGGACCAGACTTTGTACTCTGTTGAGGGGATAAAATTGCATGTCCAATATAATGTGCATCATAGCTTGTTTGACCAGGTGAATAGTTAACTTGCAGATCAGCAAAAACCCTGGAGGTGTCATGACTGCAAATAGAATAAAATCATTAAATTGTAAACAAAGATCGTACCCAAATATAAGCATAACACACCAATGACCCTTATACCCCTAAGAGTTACTGCTTCTCATTTCTCCTCACAGTATCACTAATGAATCAGATGTAAAGGTCATGAGAATAATGAAAATAATCATCAATTTTGGAAGTTCTCATTTGTCAAACAAATTCTCCATGTCAGTACTATAAATTAAAAAAAAACAGTGTGGAGAATGATAATTCTAATGTTAGGATGTACAGGATTACCAGTGCCAAAGATGATATGTGGAAAATACAGTTTTTAGATAATTATCTTATTATCACAATTAATAGTATATAGCTATTCCACTGCTTTTAACTTACTTCTTTTTATGAAAAATTTTTTACCAAATGGTATCTCCATTGATCTTTCTGTTTGAGGTAGATCTTAGCATCATAACTATAATCATTATTGTAAATTCTGCTGTTAACGATCGTTACTTTATTATTTATTTATTTCATTATTTTTATTTTCATTATTATTACCTCCAGACAATTGTCAGATTAAGATATAAGTACAAAGAAAACGGCCTGGAATTTTTCAGGCCAAGAAGCACAAACTCACCCAAGAATTTTGGAACAATTTTTGCCGTCATTAGCAACCTCTTTCTTACACAACAGGAAATTTATCCAAAATTCTACTCGATCGAAATGAAAAGCAACAGCGAAGTGGACTCACACCCCTTAACACTGCGACAAGTATGTAACAACTTAAAATATTTCCACATTCTATTCCATCAGCAAAATAGAAAGTCCAGCCGGTATTTCGAAATAATTAAGACAAAAAAATGAATAGGATTAATTAATTAGCATGACCTGTGCGAAATTAGGTAGAGAATTACAACTGGAATAAAGCCTGGGTTTCACATCATAGAGGATATTTTTAAGAACTAAAGGCGTTTTATGTGACTACGACTGTTGAATATTGTCATGTTTACGATTTCATTGCACAGGCCCTTGCAGGTTAAATGAAAAACCTCAATTTGTTAGAATACAGCACTAGAAGAATCGAAAGGCGCGCGGTGGCGCCAGAATAGACCTGTATGCTTTCCCTTCCCTTTCAACGACAACTTGAGATCTAAAAGTAACACTTTCCTAATTGAAGATGAATGGTCAATTACCAGACCACAAACAGTTCTATTTACCTTAAGAATCCGAGAAGATTTTACCCTCAATATATTAAATATTTAGATGGGAAGCGTTCGAAGTCAAACTCACCGTGGGTAGCCGTCTACCTTCTTTTTACGAGCGATCGGAGGCAAATAAATGCTTGCCATCCAAAATTTTTGCTAAGTGGACAATCTAGAACCTCAAGTGGATTCTATGGCAAATAAATTCATAGTAAACTACCGATTGTTTGGTCGAAAAACTAAAAGTCACTTCAGGTATTTCTGATTACAAGACGTCGTCCCGGTAACCAGCTGACTTCCGCTACACATACCGCTGGCTCGCAGAAAACAAAATGGTGGTTCTTCGAGCCCAAGTAATTTTTGCAGGTGAAAATATAGATTTAGCTTTGAATTGACGAAGCTTTGCTTTGTCTTAGCACCCAACGCCTTTTTATATTCATGTTATTAATTCAAAGCGTGTGCTTATATCTTTGGTCATTGTATCTTTGTCGATGTGGTGTATCAGCAACATTGATGGGCAAGTGATGGGAGTTTGCTCTGCTAGCTACATCGAAAGGAACGGTTTGTGAGCTGATTCCTGCCAATAAAATAGATTTTATATCTGTGTTTCAGGTGACCCATGTGTGGGTAAGAGTGCCCTAACACAAACATTTCACAGCGATGGTACACACTTTCCGAAAAATTATACAATGGTAAGCTTTCTCTATAGTTTTGTTATAAGAGGATCATGATTCACCAAAAAGGCTTTATTCATGACGATATATCTCTCAAGTTATATGTAAGCTCGGGGGTTATCTGGTCTTGTGAGAATTTGATTACTTGAACCTCACGAGTCCCATGAATATTGTGTTGGGCAAGGAATAGGGGGCTGCATAGATTATTTGAGTAAAATTGGTATCAAGGGATTGATTATTTCTTGATGCAGATGAAATTTATGAAGATTGGGCACCTAAGGAACAAGGAAGAAGGTCTTTCAAGAATAGTCCATCTTGTTTACTTCCCACCAATTCCTTTTGTAGCTGATCCTCCTTTAGGGAGCAGGGAAAACCTGTGTGCTGTGGCCAGTTTTCTTCCTTATTCTGTTGTTTTCTGGCTAGACTCTGGGTTGAAAACTAAGATAAGCTTCAAACTGTGGCTGAGTCTGTGTCATATACAGACTGCACCCTAATAAAATTGCACCAAATGAAATTTTGGTCATCCTTTTTTTCACTTCACATAAAAATCAAATGTTTGTAACTCGTTTTCAGACGGCAGGAGTGGAAGTGTGCATTAAGTCTGTTAACATCCCAGAGACTTCTGACAGTGTGGTAGGTCTTTCTTGATAGCAGAAATTTGTTTTTACAAACTAAAATTTCTAAATCAAATGAATGTAAAATCTCTAACCCATAACACAAAGTCACCAAGCAATTAATGTTTGGGACAAAGACAGTCTATATCGTTACAAGATTACTTAACAACTAATATTTTCACAAATACACAACTCTTATTTGATACGTTTAAGCTAATAATAAAAGAATAATCAAACATAATATCAACAAAACAAAAATTCAAAAGGCCATCTGGAAGAAAACCCAGATAGATGCTTACAAGGCAAATACAATTGATGTATATGTGCTAGCAAGCTGAGTAACAGAACAACTGATCTGAATTACTGAGTAATAACTAAAGCACCTAAAAACTAATCCAGACATCACTGTACTTTTACTAGCAACAGGAAGCTTAACTAGCAGGATACGTCACTCTGCTGGTGTTAAATTACTTGAACTAAGTAGGAAAGCTTGATCACAATTATGATGCGAGACTATCTTTGCTATGTTTGTAATTTAAAGAAGCACGTCACCCAGAAATGGATGATGTTTCCCGTTCAAGAAACCCTCTGGAAACACAAGGGTTGAGTCGGCTGCTTAACTCTTTGACCTTTAGAGTGACCAGCATCTAATTTCTCCTCACAATATCACTTCTGAATCATGGTCATGAGAATAAAGGAAATGATCAACAACTAAAGAAGCTCTTGATTGTTAAACACATTCTCCTTATCAGCAGGATAGGAAATATACAGAGAACAGTATGGAGAATATGCATACTGATGGTTTAAGGGTTAAGAGAGTTTCCACAGGCTTTTTGACTTCTATTATTTTTGCTAGGAACTCTACATTTATGACTCTGCAGGAAAAGAAATGTTTGCAGACATAGTACAACAACATGTAGGTACCTTTATCGTGAAAGCAGGCAATTTATTATTGAATCAGATGTGTATACTTTAGATATTCTGTCCATGTAGGACTATGCTAACTTAGCATGTATTGTGGGTGTTGTCACTCAAAAATCTACCTGCTAAAACAAAGGACAAAGTTTTAGCTGTAATGGTTGAAAATTTTAATGGTGTGACACAATGCCTAGACAGTCACTTGGACTTCATGGTAGCCTTGAGCTAGAAATACCATGAAGGATTTGATAATGTAGCACTCTATACATGGGCCAATGCATTATGTGGTGAGACTTGTGATAAAAGTTAAAATTCTTTTGGTTTGTCAGTTTGATATGAACCAAGCAAGAATGAATAATCCTTCCATATCAACAGAATGTCTCGTCAATTTTTTCAACCAGGTTAAAATTGATCTGGTACTGTATTAAATGAATGTAGCTATATCTTTACTTCACTCCTCAGTCATTAGAATACTAGATTTGTAGTAGGGGCTAGGTTGTAACTTGCCCAGTAAAAGATGACCAATTGCTCCAACAATGTCAATAAAATTGTGTTATTATTGCTCATGCAGTGGACACAGCCAAACATGTTCCTTGTGGGTTATGATGTGACAAATGAACAGTCATTTAATGCCTGTAACAAGTGGTATGAGAGATGCAGAGCAAAAAAACCAAACCAAAGTTTACCAGGTGAGTCTCTGAAATTTACATAGATGCAATCAGCAAATTAATAAGAGAAGCCTCAAATGGTTGAGTAAGTTGCAGTTAAACAGAATCAGATGAAAATGTCCTAAACTCTTTAGAAAAATAACTTAAGGCAATAACCAAAATGTATAAACACTAGAAACACAATTTTGAATATGGAAGCAATCTCCACAGCAGTGAACACTACTTAAGCAGTAGTGAAAATAAGGCCTGAAAAAATTCACATCTGTACAGGATTTAAACTCATAACCTTTACAATACTGTGAATTTATAAAAAATCCTGTACAGGCCTGAATTTTTTTCAGGCCCTGTTTTCACTACTGCTTAAGTAATGTTTGTTACTGCGAAGATCACTTTCATATTCATATCTTAAACAGCAGTTCACATATATCATTTTCAGACATTCACAGTCATTTAAACACGTTTTGTGTTAGATGTTAGCCAAGGAAGGAAGGCAAAATTATGGTGATGCCTGACTTAACAAATTTTTATTTGATTTTAAGGTGCCCTGGTTGCCATTAAAACAGACCTGAAACAAAGACGATTAATATCAACAAAACAAGGCAGAGATCTTGCCACTTCTAAAGGGCTTGAATACTTTGAGTGCTCTGCAGTAAGTTGCCTCTCCTTGTATACTGAAAATTGAGCATAATGACAGTCCCACTTACTAGTAACAAAGCCTTAGAGGTAAACCTCAAAAGATGAAACTACACAAGGAATCAACAATATTTCTCACATAAACACCCATTGAAAATTTGAGATGGCATTGGTGTTACTTTACTTTGCTCTGTAATTTGTCCTGAGAAACTTGTGCCACTGCTGTCATAGCCAATCAGATACAAACTTAAACCAACCACAACTTGGTCACTCACGTTTTCCTGTGCACAAGGCAGTTTGCTTGTTTTTATTTTGTGTTCCCCTTGGTCCTTTGGGGTGTATTCCTTTCTTCTGATTGGTCATTCTGATTACTTTATTTTTGGTTTTTATGACACTCCATCTGAAAGAGCTATATTCTAAAGTTCCCTTTAGCCTGCTGTTGTTTCTGCCGATAAAATGTCATCAATTTTATATTTAGGAAGTAGTTAGATATTTTTATGGTGGGGATTATCTTAAAACCTCAGTTACAAAAAATTATGTAAAATAATATTCTTGAACAAATTTTCAAGTGTCATTTTTTCAATAGGAAAAAATTGCACTGATGTGAAATTTTCTTTATGTTCTGTTCAGGCCATGTACTGCTTGCTAAGAAGTGTATTTTCTCCTTATGATTCCATCTGTGGCATATCATTACTCCTCTTTGTGCTATACCATCCCAGATTCCTTCCAATCGACTTTCCATGGTGGAAACTCGTTTCCTCAGAACATACTTTTTTCCCTTTTATTTTTCTAGAAAGACCATGAGAACGTGGAAGCTCCATTCTACTACTTGGCTAAAGAGTTTCACAATCTTTACAAGGAGAAAGTTGAACAGATGAAGACATTGACATAGGACTTTCATTTTCGTCGTGTTCTCTCCTTGATGAGAGGGGAGGTCGATCTTTTCATTGCACAACTTTTATTTATTCCGAAAAGCGTTCTTGAAAATAGAAGTGTCTACCTTTCTTCGACTCAAGGGACTTATATTAGGGTTTAGCTTCTTGAGGATATTTCAGCCCAATCTCTTAAAGTTAGTTTATTTATATACTGGCAAGTTCTAGTTTATGTTTAGTGTTTAAGCATTCTGGGAACGCATGCAGCTATCATTCTACTCAATCCATGAGAATTGACTCATAAGCTATGTTTTCACCTTGCTTGAGGCAAGGTCCTTCACGTTAAAAATGTTAAATGATATTGATATATAAATGTATCACTATTTTAACACATTTCTGTAAGGTCCAAAGAGATTATATTAACTGATACTCTCTTAGAGGAAGATCGGAAAATGTTGAAAAAGCAGATATAAAAACCTAAGATAGCGTTAGTGATCATTTTTTTAACCCTTTCCATCTTAGCATTTGTGTTCATATTCTCCACACTGTCTCTTTACATTTCCAATGATAATAACAAGGAGAATTTGTGTGACAATCAGGAGCTTCTTAAATTGGTGATCCTTCCCTTCATTCTCATGACCGTTACATTATATTCAAGGGTGGTATTGTAAGGAGACATTAGAAGCCAGACACTCTTAGGGTTTATGGATTAAAGAAGTTTCGTTTATCGGTCACAAATCCGCAGGCTTGACAGTTTGAACCCCATGACACAGTATGATGTGCCGAGTAAAAGTACCATTCAGTAGCTATAAATCGTTTAGTTATTGCAGTATAAACCATAATATACGTTTCCTTCAAATGTTTTAATTAAAAAATTATCCTCGCGAGTGGACCCCAGATGCAGGAAAGAAGCCTGGAGGCTTCGTAGCTCAGTTGCAAGTAGCGTCCAACTAGTATCCGGGAGGCATGGGTTCGAATCCCGTGCAAGCCTGAATATTTTTCAAGGGGGTAAGTTTCTAAAGAAACTGTGGTGCTACGTTAGTGGGAAAGTATAACATGGTAATTTAATAAAATCAACTGAGTTGATAACGTAACTTGGCCACCGTAAAGAGTTTCAAAGTTGACGTTTCGAGCGTTAGCCCTTCGTCAGAGCGAATGACGCAGTTGGACTGCAATTCAAGAAATTTCAGAAGAGAAACATCAAAAAATGTTCAGGGTAATTTAGTATTATCAAATAAGTTGATAGCGTAAATTGGCCACCGCAAAGAGCGAATGATGAAGGGCTAACGTCCGAAACGTCAGCTTTTAAATTCTTTACGGTGGCCAATTTACGTTGTCAACTCATTTGAGAATACTAAATTACCCTGAATATTTTTTAGGCTTCTTTTCTGAAAGTGCTGGAATTGCAGTCCAACTACGGGGATCATTTCTTTGTTTGATTTCCATCTGCAGGTCAAATGAAAAAAAAAATTATTACTAGGTGTTAGATGAGTGTTTACAGTATTGTGGGGACAATATCTTGCGTGTTTAGCTTGTCTTTGCGAAAAGGTGATATGAGACGATTAGCATCGATCCGAATTAATTATTTTGGTGTGTTAATTATTTTTTCACGGACAAACACGATCAAATTTGGCTGACACTGAGCGATCTTTGAATAACCTTGTTGTCAAAGGTGAGAGAGTAGATACCTGTTTTTTCCTTCGCTTGAGGACACTTTTAATACATTTTCTTAAGGGTTCTTTATCATGTTTTGGAATACCAAAATTTTAAATCAAAACAGTTCTTATCTCTGTTGAACTCTGAAGAACTTTGTCATTGTTTTGGAGAATAATAGGTCGTTACCATTTGTTGACAATGTGATAACGGTTAACCTTTACTCCTCGGAAAGTACACCACTAGCTTTACATTATTCATGTTTTTTTCCTTTTCGGGACATTTTATTTGGAATAGATAAAATCTAATAAAGAAACAAGTTTTGACTCCTTTTCCTCGAGTTTCAGCTCGATGATCGTTTACGCTTGTTTGAGGGAAAGCTGTTACCGATAATTTATTCAAAAAACGCTTCAGTGAAGGATTAACCTCGTTGCTTCTTGCTTCTAAACTGATATTTGAAAACAATGATTTCTGTTTTTGAGAGACGACAGTTACATGCAGGTGGCTAAATTCTCGCTATGTTTTTTGTTTTTTATATTTTGGAAAAAAGAGAAAAACCCCTGGGATTATTTTGTTCATTCAGATCTCACTAATTATCATGGCTAAACCATTTGTTGTTGGCAACGCTACGTTACTGTGTTCCCGTTGGTTATCACATGATCGCATCAAGAACTCCTTTTCAGTGTGACGAGAGGGTGTTCTTAAGCACGCAGACTAAATATTTGCTAACAACTTGACTGAGGCAACAATGGGATGTGGGTCGTCGAAATCCGTCGAAACTGCTGTCGTATCTACAAATGAGGGCCAAACCGAGCCGTTTATACGCGAAGTCAACGAAAACATTGAATCAAAGCCGAACTCTCTTAGCAACAAGCCGCGAATCTTTTCTCATGAGGCCGAGCTTACAGAAAGCGTAACAAATCCCCTATTTTCCATCGGTGACCGCGTTCATGTTTCTGGATACACAGGTAGTGTGAAGTTCATCGGAAGTCTCAGCGAACTAGGCGATGGTGACTGGATAGGAATTGAGTTGGATCGAGAACATCCACAAGGAAATGATGGGTTATTTCAAAGCATCCGTTATTTTACGTGTAAACCAAGACATGGCATGTTTGCTCGACCGTCCAATGTGTTTCCCCACACAGATGTGGATACAATTGAGGAAGCCGCGAGTATTAATCCTCGAACAATCGCTTTCATTCAAACTAGCATGCGGCGATTTCTTGCCAGGATTCGACTGGCAAAGTTTCAACAGCGCACGGGAATCGAGAAGCAGATCGACGCACATGTGTTAGCGACACCAGAGGAACAAACTGAAAGCGTCGAAAAACTGAGCGTCTATCTCACAAGTCGGTGGGAGGGAGACAGGAACAAAGCTTACGCGATTTTCCGCTGGCTGAGTTTCAATGTCGCCTACGATGTAGATGGCTTTTTTGGAAGGACAGAGAAAAAGACTTGCGATTCCGCAAGCGTGTTACGCCACAGAACATCAGTGTGCGCTGGTTATGCGAATCTATTTGACGCACTTGGTAAAGCTGCGGGTCTTCAAGTGCATACCATAAATGGCTACGCCAAGGGTTATGGCTTCGAGCCGGGCCAGCAGATTAAAGACACAAATCACGTGTGGAATGGAGTTCAAATCAACGGTGAGTGGTTCATTTGTGAGCCCACATGGGGTGCTGGTTACCTAGGAGCCGATTTGATGTTCCATCGCAGCCCAGACGTGTCCATGTTCCTGATGGACCCCGAATATGCCATTTGCAGCCACTACCCATCCGACGAACAATGGCAGCTCCTTGAGAAACCCATCAGTAAGGAAGAGTTTGAGAAGTTGGTCGTGCCTTCTGGAAGAATTCACCAAATGGGAGTGGAAATTCTCAGTCACAAGGAAAGCATGTATGATATTGATGATGCAGATCACATCGAAATGATGTTCTACTCTCCATCGTTGAAGATGCTACGAGGTGATCTGAAGGACTTCTCAGGAAGAGAATACGAAGGAAGAAGATGGACACAGATTCTGCCCTGCGGAGTGAACCAAGTGAAGCTCAAAGCACAGTTCCCTGCCCCAGGAAAATACAAGCTGAATTTGTACGTAAGGGACGAGGTGACCCATACTAAATGGCTTAGTGGAATAGAGTACATTATCCAGGCCAAAAGAGGAACTGAGAGAAATCGAGGCGGATTCCCACAATTAGGAGGTGAGTTTTACGAAGCAGGATTCAGTCTTGATCATCCATCCGAGAACATTGTATCCGACGACGGAAAGGCTTGCATCTCATTACAGAACTTTAACATTCAAATTTCTCACATCGTGGGCCAACTTGACCTGGTGGGAGAGGGGAAACGACTCAAAAAAGACTTCGCTGGATTTTCATTTTGCTACTCAGAGAAGACAGAGAGTGGTTTTCGAGTGATGGTGCATTGCCCACTTGCAGGGGAGTACACTTTGAAAGTATTTGCCAAGTATTATGGCGAGGGAAAATCAAATACGTTTGTGTGTACCTACTACATAACTGCTCTCTCTGGTGTAGATCCTGTACCAGGCTTTCCGCGATTGTCGGACAGCTTCGTCTCGTGGGGCCTGGAGCTCAAAGAGCCCCAGCACAATATTTATGCCCCGGATGGACGAGTCTCCGTTAAGCTGAAGACCCCGGAGAATGTATCAGTTGTTGGTTTTTTAATGAAGGACAAACAACATCTTGACAACAGTTTGTGCTTCAGTAACACGGCGGAGTGTGTTGGCACAATTCTGGCTCATGCGCCTGAAGCTGGCGTTTTTCAGCTAAATGTGTTTGGTAAAAAACCTGAGAGCAAAGACAGTGAATATTTAGCAACATTCATGATCAAGTCTGATCAAGCGGCAAGCTCAAACCCAGGCTTCCCCTACCTGAAGGACGAGTTTAAGGAGTGGGGACTAGAGCTGATAGATCAGTTGGAGAACATCGTTTCACATGTCAGCCATGTTAAAGTCACATTTTCTAATCCTCACGGTATCGCTTTAAAGCCATGGCTGTTTGATGCCCATAATAAGCAGATTGGCAACTCTTGTCCGGTGGAAACCGCTGACAAGATGACCGTCATAACATGTGAGCTGCCTAAAGCTGGGAAGTTTAAACTAAATGTTTTTGGGACAAATTTATCTATTGACAGCACAAAACAAGTGTTTCTTTGTACATACAAAGTATTATACCTAGGCTAATTAAACCAAATGCGACTTTAAAGACCAAAAACATTTCGTTGGTAAGCAAATGAAGCACAGTGCGTTTTCTAATCATGAGTTCAGGGACTGGTCATCATTTATCGCCTTGCAGGGGGTCGAAGGAGTCTGGTTGTGCCACAATTTAATTTTATCTGATACCCCCTTATACTTTGTAGTATTTTGATGCCCCCCCCCCCCCCCCCACTTTCCTTGACAGTCAGTTTTCTATAGTCCCCCCCTATAGTCTGCTTCTGACGATTGATCCCCCTTCCGCTCCCCCTGAAAAACATGTGATTCCCCCAAATCCCCCCTCCCCACCCAAGCGAGGAAAAAGGACTAGTCTCTTGAACGAGAGCTTGAGTTGAATCGTTTTCCTATTTTAAGACTCCAATTTCACAAGTTACCTTGAACATTTATACTTCCGTTTTTGACGGTCTGGCATAATTGTCATTGGTTAGCGAAAACACGAGGGAAATTCTTTGTGGTCTTCAAAGAGATATAAGATAACTAAGTTACTTCTCAAAAAATTGTAAACAGGTGAACTTTTATGAAGAGTTTCGCGTAGAATTATTACTGAACAATTATATGCGTTTATCATTTATTACTTCGCTTCTATTTTTCTGTTATTAATTTTCGTTTATTTCCAGTAATGTTTGATCCGTGATCCCATTCTCCTGAACACCCGGATCCTGATTTTTCCAGAAAAATATATAATAGTGACTCCCGCTGAAATGACCTGGATATTTAAACCTTCTCATGTTTGAAGCAGATGCTGTAATTATTGCCGATGGCCATCGTACTTATATATCGACACAAAGTGAAACATAGGAAATGAAGCTTTTTTTGTGCTTTTGTGCTTTATGGCTGCCATTTACATTAGTTAACCTTGCTGTTGCTCTTTCAGTGATCATCCATGATTGATCATGGTGATCGACTTATTATGTTGCTATTAGCAACGTTCCCTTTTCATCAGAACACATGAAAAGATTATTGAGGCGCATTCGTTCTCTCACGCTACATTAAACAAGCGACAACAGTGGCCATTTGTTTCTTCCAGCCGACAATAGGATGTGGACATCAAAATCGGTCCAAACAGTCGTCGAGACGACAAATCACAGTCAGGACACGAACTTCGAATCAAAGCCGACTGCACTCGACGACAAAGCTCCTGAAACCAGCCTAATTGAGAGAGGTGAAAATCAATTTTCCATCGGCCACCGAGTGCATGTTTTTGGATACTGGGTGCTGTCAGGTTTATCAGTTATCTAAGCGACCCAAGTGGCGGTGAGTGGATAGGAATCGAGTTAGACCATCAACATCCACAGGGGAACGATCTATTCTTCGATGGAGTTCGTTATTTCACTTGTGAGCAGAAGCGTTGCATGTTTGTTCGACCGTCGGTGGTATTTCATCACAAAAATGTTGAAAATGTTACTGCAGCAATGAGTATTTCTTTAGAAACGATCGCTTTTATTCAAACGAACATTCGACGTTGCTGCTTTTCAAATGTAAATTACTTTGATATCATGCGAACTAGAAACTAGTCTCTATCACGACGAAGTTGCTTTCAGCCTCACTCCAAATCAGAGGCTTGGCAACTAAGTACGCAACTATAAAATGGCCTATTTTCTGGGCTTACTTCGCAAAGAACAGAAACTAATGAATCAATGGCAACAAGAGGTTCGTTCGGGTGCCACATACTTTTATGAATATTTAGAGGCGATGACCTACTCGATTTTCCATTTCTTTTAGCACCCCAGAGCTATAAAATAATCGCAGTTGAACGTTTTGTATTTTGCATATTCTGACATATTACAAAGATGAAGCATGTAGGTAAACAGTGGTTTTTTATTGAACATTTAAGGATTGTAAAGAATTCCATCTTAATGAGATATTTTCACTGCCATAGCTCAAAAACCCATTAATTGACAGAAAATAAAATTTGAAAGAGCCTATTCTTTAAAAATATTTTATATATATAGCTCAAATTTATTTTTACTATTAATCCTTATAGTAATCCATTATAGAATAAAACTAAAACGTATTAGATTACTTCGGTTCCTTCTTTTATCCTTCAGGTGCCTGTGAAATAAAATAAAGAAATCTCATACAAAAACATTACAGCTTTGATAAGTCATCAAAAGAAAACCCATACTAGGCTAGTAAGTATTGAACACTTGCGGTGATAATATTTTCGTTCGTTCTGAAGATGATCGTTATAATCCCACATTTATTGACTGTGCAATGACTGTTCAATTTTTATGAGAGTGCAACAGTCATAGCAATTGAAGACAGCGCTAATAACTTAAACCAAAATGTTCTGCGCTTTATCTGTGCATACAGGCTGAGTTAATTCTTGGCGTTTTGCCTGGAGAGTGATTTTAAATCGAGGACTTCATGAAAGTATTTAAAGATTTGATCTTACTGCGGTAAGAATAGAGTAAAACAGTAATCACGCATATTTCTGCCTGTTAACTCAAGGTCTCGTATTTTTATACTTGATTGATAAAAATACAAAAAACTACACCACCTTCACGAAACTACACCAACCACACCAAACTAAAAAAAAAGTACATCAGCTACACCAACTACCCCAAAGTACACTGACTACACAAAACTTCATCAAACTACACTAAATTGCACCAACAAAACAATAAAATATACCAACTAACTCAAACTGCACAAAAGTAAGCCAATTACAAGCAGTTACGCCAACTGCACAAAGATGCACAAACCCACGTCAATTACACCATCTACATAAAACTACAGCAGTAACAACAACCTACACTTAGTGCACCAGATAACATGATTACATCAAACTAAGCCAAACTGCACCAGACTACACAAAGCTACACCAAACTTCACCAAAGTACACCAAACTGCATCAAACTAGATCAACGTAGGCCAGGTACACCAACTGCACCAAACTACATCCTACTGCACCAACTGTACTAAACTACACCGAACTACACCAACAACAGAAAGAGCACCAAACTACATCAACCACACTAAAATGCATCAACTACACCAATTTACACCAAACTTCTCCAAACTGGGTAATTTAGTATTATCAACTGAGTTGATAACGTAAATTGGCCACCGTAAAGAGTTTCAACTCAGTTGATAATACTGACCTTGTGTAGTGTTAGGATTAAGGGACTGATTGGAGACTTTAGTTGTAACTTTTTTGTTCTCATCATTATTTGTTTCTCGAATTGATAATTACCAGCGAGGGTTTGAGGTTTGAAGTTTGTGGACTTAAGACCAAGTCATACAGCTGCCTTACCTGCTGATCTAGTATCCATTCCCTTATTCTTGTAGTCCGTGAGTTGATTTCTATCTTCATCTCCCTGTCTCTGAAAGAAAAGACATGAAAGATAAAAGAGAAGAAAAGGAAAATTAAAATCATGATCTATATTAACATTTCTTTTTCTTTGATATCATGCTTTTCATTGTGGTATTTGTTGAACTGATGTGTGTTATTACATCTGGTAAATCTCACTTAAGGAATAAATGATTGTCTACCAAAAGGGACTCACCTTGAGGTCTGGCTCAAACTGCCATTATCAGTTGAATTTGGCATCCCCGCACTATCCTGATTTTGAAAACAAATAGATGTTTATGCACTAGTAAGCAGATTTTTTCAATCTTCCATATGTTTTACGTCTACATTATCGGCCTTTTGACTCAGTCTGAGCTGAGATGCACTTCAATATTTAATTGTTGGTGCACAGCGTAAAAATGAGCCTAGATTATGGAGTTCTTGAAACCTTTAAGAGTGAAAATAGACTTAAGTCGAAAACATTCTGCCCAACTTATTGACTTTCATAACTAATTGGTTGTAGGAGAGCATAGCTTACCTGCACGTTAGATAAACTTTCTGGAATTCCACTCATTTTTAGACAGTATACCAACACTGAAAATCAGATGAAACACGCATGTTATTTCTCATAATTCTGTCTTCTCTTTTTTTCCTCTGACTACTCCTCTAACATAAAATGTAAAGCATAATAATTTTTCATAAACATTGCATTCCTTTGATATATATATGTGAATTTTTACTTCCTTCGTTATTCCTGGCGAGGAGGCTCATTTGGAAAACATGAGGCTTTTTACTATGAGCTTCCCCCTTACCTAGACTTAAATTACAGTAATCAGGACAAACAAAGCAAAAACATTAAAAAATATACAAAAATAAAAACAAACGCACACAGAAAGCAAGAGAGCAGACACATTGGAGACATGCTGCAAAAAAACTAAAATAAATAGATAAATAATATCTACTTGAGGAAAATCAGATAAGAGAAATTTAATACTTGTGTATATATAGTAACGAAAACACTCAATCTACCTAATTTTATCCTAAGATAGGGCCATTTTATTTGGCTATGTTTTCATTTATCTTTTTTCTTCCAAAGATGAGTTTTTTAAAGATATATAGATGTATGATTTATACTTATGGTAAGTAGTGGTATATGACACTGGTAAATTGAATGCGAAGACGCCATTACACATATAACCAAGAAGGCATTTTTTTTCAAAAAAATACACAACTTCATCTCAAACGATTAACAGTCTGCTACAAATCTATTCTGCGCAAGGAGGCATTTTTTGTCAAAAAAATACACAAATTTATCTCTATTCGTTTTCCTTGACCTTTAAACAAGCCCTTACCAAGCCCTGTTCAATAGGTTAGAGCTTCATCTACGTTTCATCATATTTACCTCCATATTGCAACATAGCAAGGGACTCGGTTTAATCTAGCCCAGATCTCTAGAAGCATTTAACCATAAGACTTATAATTGGTATAGCTAAGTCAATATCTGCTACATAAACAGTGAGTTAAATTAAAGCCGAAAGTGTGTATTGTTTGAGGTTAAGTCCTCAGCAAGGTGCGTTTGCGATCTCGACATTGAGCTCCGCTCGCAAAAGTTGATCTCGAACTTAAAATTGATGTGATCTCCGTTAGCTCACCACGATGTGGTTCCGTCAACTGCTAT